ATAATATGAGACTTAAGAGGGTAAGACTGTCTTTATTTTTGAGTTTAATTTGATTAAATAAGACAATGTTACAACGGAGGACAGTTTGCAGTACTCCACGTCTATTTCATAAAATGAGCCACAATAGGAAGATAATGGTGGGGGCCATCCATCTGTCTGTAGCCTGAGGACGGAGGCTCAGGAGGGACAGTGTCAGCCTCCACTACCCCCCTCAGGCATTTGCCCTTTAGACCTTTGAGGAGAAGGGAGAGCTGACTTGTGCTGTCGGCAGCGGCTGCTGAAAGGAGTTCCGGCTCATTACGGTGACTTTTGATCACTGCCCAGCCGTGCAGACTCTAGCACCCCATCGTGTGTTTAATGTGCTCCTCCGCGCTGCTGAGAGCGTTAGTATCATTGGAGACGAGCACCTACAGGTTTACAGAAAGCGACAGATTGAGTGTCTTGCTTTTATTCTTTCAAACTCGAAAACTCCAAAAGTGTGCCCTGGTTGCATCATAAAGATTGTCAGACTGTTGAGTAATGGATACTTGGAGCGTTGGAACCTGGAAATGCTATTTTTAGAGGTCTGCCTAACCAGTGGGCTGTTCAGTGACAGGCGTCTCAGCGGCCTGCCTCAGCATATCTAACCCCAGTGTTTTTACCTTATTTCAGATTTCTAAATTTAGTACACTTTCTGTGACTGAAAACATATAGTGCTACGCATCAGAAGTTGACGCCGTGATGACAGAAAACGGATGTTTACGTCTTAGCTCGGACTTGTCAGAAAGCACTAATTAAAATTTTTTCCTCGAATACTCTGCAGTTCCTCCTGTGGATGGAGCGCAGCTATTGACAGTCTAATTGATCTGTGAAGAACAGATGGGCCGGCAGGTGGGGGAGGCGGGCGTCACGCTCAGCGTTTGTTCTCCAGAACCACTACAGCAGTTTCTCCTGTGTCTCTATTTCCTCTCCTACAAACAGGAGAGGAAATGTGCCAATCCAAAAGCAGTGGTCACTACATCGCCGTGTTATGAACAGAATCAGACTGGAGAGTATTCAAACGTAGCCATTTTGGAACCTGCTAGTTCTGATCGTCTTCTAAAAGGTCTCAAGGTGACGTGGGTTCTGAACGCTAGCAACAGCAGGCTATCACTAGTATTTTTGCTAGCTTTAGCTTTTTAGTAATTTGAACTTTTGCATGGGGTTTTGCATAATTAAACCGTGTATAAATGATAGCCTGCACAGCCAGCATTACCTTCATAGTTCTTTTTAGCTTATGGCTGAACTAATTGCTTTTTCTGCTTCATATAAATCAGATCAAGATATATTGACTTTTACACACACGGTGTGCATCTCTTTCATTCGACTTTCAACTGATTTCTGCCAGATAGACGGCAGCTACTATATAATGAGCCTCATGGAGCATCAGGAGGCTTGCATCTTCTATTTAGTTGATGTTTATTCTGTCAGGTGACTATAGTTTTCTCTTGCTTATCAGAAAGACATGCACCTCTTTCGAAGACAGTCCGATCCCAAAATAAAGTGGGAGATGAGTATTGCTCTTTTAACGTTACATTGAGCAAACTCCAAGCAGCACGTCTGTTAAACAGCTAACTGCAGGCTGGACACCTGATTATTTCATCTGCTTTTTTTATGAAAGAGAAAAACAGAAATAAAAGTGTAGTATTTTGCAAAACAAGCACCTCAAAACTGCAGGTAAAGCAGTTTATTATTAAAGTATGTAACTTTAATAAAGAATGTGTTTTTTTGTTTGTTTTTTACATATTTGTTAAAACTGTCATTTTGTAGAGACAGTATAATGTGAATCAGACAATCAGTGACAAGATGGAGCCGCCGTCATGGTTTTCACTTTCTGACTGAACTGAATCATGTCCAAATTCCTGACCACCAATAATGAAGAAAGAAGTCTGTAAGTGGACTCGGTGACTGTGCGGTTTCGGCTGCATTCCGCCCAACGGCACTTCCGTCCCTAAAGGAAAGAGGGGGCTGCAGAATCAGAACCGTAATTACAGCGCGGGTGCCATGGTTTGGTGCAGCCTGTTTGATCTGGTTGCTGCTGTGTTTGCGGACGCACACGAGACAACAAGGGGGTCGTTGCAAAAACCCCAGCCGGGAAGTCCCTTCGCTGAAGTGCCTGGCAAACACACGGTCCCTTGATGGTCAGCGGGGACGGAGAGTGCTGTGTTGACTGATGGAGACAGAGATGACAGGCAGACAGCAGTGTCACCTTACTGACCAAACAGTCTAATGAGCAGAAGAGTGAAATGTGACTCTGCCCCCACAGGAACAGCTCCATCAGATATCAACAGGAAGCAGAAGATGAGCAGGAAGGCCGGCTCTTTAGGTTCTGTCCCAGGGAAATTCTGTTCATTCCAGAAGCCTGTTTAAGCCCATGTGAATAAGACGCTTTAAAAGGTACAGATGTTAGCATCGTCGGTAGAAGGAGCACGCACTTGTTTTTAAAGGCAGTGTGAGCGTTGTGAAGGTGAACCTGATGAGCTTCATTCCACCCTTTGTAGTCTCTGAGGAGCGTGTGAAGTCACTGGAGGAGCTTTTTCCACAGATGCTGAGTTCATCTGCCCTGGTTTCACTGCCCGTGTTTACAGCCTTGTAAAGGGAAGCCTCGGCAGCGGAGCACCGCCAGCTGAGAATGCATCGTCACTGGCTCTGTCACGTCTCTTTTTATGCAGCATCATAAGTCGACCGTGCTCTGATGAACACGCTCAGTCCTGTCCGAAGTTTATGTACACGGTTCACAGGCATGAATTAGGGCTGGGTAATAAAAACGACAACGGTATCTTATCACAACAGACTCGTGGTCAACGAGGGACAATGTTGGCGACGGCGATAGGAGTACGTCACTAAATCGGTGGGTGGCCAATTCGATTCTGCCTCTGCTGTTGTGTCGATCATTTCAGGCAAGCGCCGTCGGACGCCGTTGGCCGCTCAACTTCCTCCAGGCAAGGTAAGAAAGGTTGGTGGTACCAACTTCTTGGTTACCTAGCAGCAACTTCTTGAGTAATATACACAGTGGCAGTTTTATGTTGCCTTTCACATACTTGAGTGTACGTCACACCTTTGAGATTTGCGCATACTCAGCATGGACTCAAAGCGAACATCCGCTGAACGCGTTCAAAGAATTGTGGGTAAGAGAGGAAACACTCAAGTCACTAGCTTTGAAGTATTTTGGACATGTAAAACAAAAAACTAACCAATACTTATTGATATCAACCGATATAAAATATCAGTTAATATCAGTTAATCTTGACACTTCTGTTGTCATTGCTCACCTTTGGCTTGATGAAGATTTGTATGGTAATTTCTCACCTCTTGTATGGCAGTACTCAGGGGATTTACCTATAATCACAATGTCCATCCATCTATCCATTCATTCATTCATCCATCTATGCTCCTATCTATACCCACTTATCCATCCAGGGTGCTGGGGGTGGGGCGCACACAGGACAAACAATGATCCACACACACACACTCATACCTGAGGGAAATTTAGGGATCAGCCCAAACAGCTGCACATAAGCACAAGCCAATCAGAAGTGTCCTCTCACGTGATCAGCATCAGATTAAAGGACCCTAGTAAAAACGCTCAGGAACCTTCCAGGAACCACCGAGGCTCAGGGCAATTAGAAACTGGAAGCTGCTGGAGTAACTAAGGGAGTTTTACATTCCTGCCGACCAATGACGATGCTCCGGCTCCAAAAACCACCTCTAAGCTCAGCGGACATTTGCAGCTGCCCACATGGACAAGCCACTTACCTTCTGCAGAGATCATTTAGCATAAATCACAAGAAACATCAAACTGTTCGCTAGAAGCCATGTATGTGGAAGATTTGAACCACCCTACATTATGAACTGGGGAAGAAACTTTCATTCAACGTTGTGCACTGGGTGAAAACTGCAGCGTAATCTTTCCCTAAATATTTTCACATTCAGATCTAATCCATGTTAGATACACTGAACATGTCAGATTAGCCAAACAAAACTAATCTAATTGGGGTTTTTTCATAACAAAGTAAGGACAATGGCAGGAACAGTTGGTTTAGTGCCATGAAACCCATCATGTAGGATTAAAGGTGAGGGATTAAAGCATCATCATCATCCCCATCATAAGGCTTTCACACTCTAGTAAACAGACAATAGAAGCTTGTACTCCTAAAAGCTGAAATTAAAATTAATGTATGCCTGTTTTTAACGATGGTCATTTAAAAAAAAGACCCATTAAACAACATGAATCAATGCTCTCTGTTGGAGTCATGCCACAAGGGATTCGCTCAGGCCCAGGCCAAGACAGTCAGGACCCACATGTCCAAAACTCTTCTCCACAATCAAACCAAACCTTCAAACCGTCAAAGACAACCCCAACATTGCCCCGCCAGCCAGCAGGGCTGGATTTAACGTTTTTGTCTGAATGCTGCATTGTTGGCCATGATAGGCCAATCTCTTCACCTAATGGGCCTGGTAATAGTGATAAATGTGCATTTCTGTGGGGAGCAGATGTGGGTGTGAAGCCGGCGTCCCCCCTGGGCAGGACGCCGGGGTGAAGCTGCATTTGGGCGGCTGTGATGTCTGCCGGTTTAAGTGGTCTTTAGATGACATCACCAAGACGGATTACAGCTGCTGACATAAACGCCAAGTGGTCACTAACTGACCCACTGACTGACGTTTGTCTGCTTTTCAACTTTTTTACAGAAATCTGAAAAGTGTGGCACATATTTATATTCGACTCCTTTTCATCCAATACCTGGAAAGACAAAAAATAAATAAAAAATTAAGTGCAGCTGCACCCAAAGCTGCAGGACCTCTGAGCAGGAAGACACATTTGACAGGCATTGCACTTTGTGATGTCATAAAACGCCGACAAAATCTATTCAAAGTTTGTATTTTTCAAAGTGACAATGCCATAAAATGAAATAATTTAAAAAAAAAGTTTAACGGGTATGAATTATGTTTCTGCACAGAACAGAGGCGCGGCTCCATCTTACCAGACGCCAAAGTTTCCAGAGCAAACAAAAACAGCACAGGAACCAAACGCAGGCTGCTCTCCATCATGCGCTGAGATGCTTCATAGGTAGACCAGGCTGCTGTCTGACAGTCCTCAGAGCATCCACACCGTGGGAGGGACAGCGAGGCTGTTCAGCAGCGGCGACCCTGTTATCCAAAAGGAGTTCGCAGCTATGGGGAGAAATCTGCGCAACCAGCAGCATCAAGCTCCCCGGGCAGCATCCTGGACGAGAGCCGGAGTTCAAACATCCCACACGGGTAACTTTTGTCCCGGACCGAAAGCCTCCCGTCTCGGGTCCGCTTCGGGATGGTCCGCGCAAAAAAAAAAAAAAAGAAGAAGAAGAAAAAGAAGAAGCAACGCGCAGGTGATGAGAGGAGAAGCGGCAACTGGCCGCCGCGACCCGTTATTGAGAGGGGAATTCCTCCGCTGTGAGACAAGCAGCTCGGAGGGGAGACGAAGTCATGGCGGAGAGAAGAAGAAGCAGAGCCCCGGTCAGACGCGCAGCTCCATCCCGCTCCTCTCCGCTCAGCTCCGCTGCAGGGACTGACTGAGCCACAGCCTCATCACAAAGCAGTCGCGCGGTCCGGGAGCAGAGCGCACGGAACGCCAAGCTGCCCGCCCGGTACTAGAACAACTTCCGGTGGGACCTTCAAAATAAAACCAAACAGCAAGAAAAGGGTCGGCCTGCAGAGAGACTCACAGAGTACATTGCACACATAAAGTGCAGCTACAACCGAAGACATAATAATGTTCTTATTTTGGACAACATTGCCTATTGATTAATTAATTTGCTCTTCTTTACTGACGAAAATAAATATTAGATATTTATTATACTGCAATAATATCATAAAGTTTATGTTTAAGTCGTGTCGGCTATATATATATATAAATATATATATATATATATATATTTTTTTTTTTTTTTTTTTTTTTTTTTTTTTTTGCTACGACTTAAACATAAACTTTGATTTGTTATTTTTTTTTTATTTTACCCCCTGCCGCTCTTTCCGTTGTTTACCTCATAATGTTCAGCTTCATCAACCCAGAGCCTCGTTAAAGGGCCAGCGCACTCAAAATTAGACTTCAGCGGAATTAAAGTTTACTTCTCAAGCCTTGCATGACGACGTGAGGGACTGGCGGTTCACCTGCAGTGCTGTGAATCCCACTGCCCTGCACCAGACTGCATCTCATTGTCTCGGGTCATCCCTTCCTTCACGGTGCTCATCCTCCTGAGAAACAAGCACCATCCTCAGAAAGCGGACGCATGATTATTGTCAGTGACTCCTGGCGTGCAAAAGTGACCTGATATGCCTGCACGTGTTCTGCAGCAAAAACCGTCAGATTATTATTTATTTTTTTTATTTTGTATTTGTTCATGTTTGCTTGCTGTGGCAGAAAAGAATGTGACATCAAACGCAGCCCAGTGAAAACAATGTATACTTTGCCTCTTTTAACATGGTAACATTATTTGTTTTTGGGGGGGTTTTTGTGTGGTTTTCTTGACATAAGAAATGATAAATGATAGCAAAATCTACATGGGTACACATCAAATCCTCCCCCATGTTCTGGCATTGCCGTGAAGGTAAAATAGATTTAAAAGAAATGAAACTGAAAAATAGCGCTGTGCTACGGTTCAGTCTGGTTAACCATGTCTGTGGTCAATTCCGGTCACCCCCCACAGGAATGCTTCGAAGAAACAGTGCTGTGGACTCAGAAGCAAAGGTGTGAAATAAAATTCACTCCAAATAAAGCACCAGCAAGCAATTATGAGATCTGACTGACCAAGGTCACAGTGATGCAAAGGAATGAAACCATAGAGGTACCATTAGGTCAGTTCTAAAATCTAAAGCATCAGTCCTACATTGAAATCTAAACTGAACTGAAAGAAAGACGGGGAGATATTTTTGTGACTTCCTGTGGCGTTCAGGACCAACTGCAGCCATTAGAGGGCAACCTGGTTAACTCCAACACACGCAGCTTTGCATCTATCCAACAAACAGACATATGGTCAAAGTGTGTGTTCACCCTTCAAATGGATAGAAGGGATACAAAAAAGAAGCCACCTTGGACAGCAGCCTTTCAACAGAGGCACCTCTGCGTTGATCTGTTCCTGTGATTCCAAATTGTCACCCGGTGAAGTTTGAGGCTCCACCGCATCAAGGCGCTGCTGTCGGAACTGAGTTCAAAAATACCGACGTTAGTTTTGTCCCCATTGAAACTGAGGAGTTTAAAGTTGTCCAAGGTTTTCATTTTTGCACACTGGTTTCATGAAAAAACAAAAAAAACAAAGGCAGAGAAATATGCATGTCAGCCATCTTGTTGACAGTAGCTCAGTTGCATTCGATGGAAAGTGTTTATGAGTGTCAGTTTTAAAACGCCTACCACAGCTTCTAGATGTTTATTGGTAGCTTTTCTTTTTCTCCCAATTATTAAGATAAAGTTTTTCGTTGCAAGTTGGAATGGCACTTGTGAATAAATATCGTAGTTTGTGAAACGTCCCCAAGAAGCAAGAGCTCGTCCTGCGGGGGTCCATGAAGACAGACATGTCGATGATTTGGCCCCGTAAAGATTATACTCCCGCCACAACAACATTCATGGATGTCGGCCAGGTTCGGCGCGGGACGTACACGGGTCAAAGTAAAGCAAGCTTTACTCGCTTTCATGATAATCTTTCTCCACGTTGGCTGTGGCTGATTGTTTCTTCAAAGGCTCTTGCTCCACTCCGTACGTTTTCCTTCATGAATATTGATATCAGTGCAGTTAAGGCTCTACCTCAATGTATCCAGCACTAGCCTTTTCTTTTTGAAGTCACGATATCAAGCATGTGGCCGATGACAGCAGGCTCTCAAAGCCGGCTCCCAACTGGAAACGCAGACGAGATGCTGACAAAAGTGTGACTCCAAATGCAAATTTGCCTCACGTGTAAAACACATTCGACTGGGCCGCATTTACAAATCAGGCATTAACATAAGCAGGCACGAACGTGTCCAAACAAACTCGAACTTCACTTCCGAATGTCACTATTTATCTGCACACCGGCTTCCCTCGATGTTGATGGAAAGCGAAAAGTAATATCACAAGCGCTTGAAGATAGGGCCAGCCAATGAAACTTGACGTGGCAAGAGCCTCAGCTCTGCAATGGAGCAATAAGCAATGATTGGGTGGAGGGCTGTTGAGCTGAATAAATATTAGGGGTCAGGCAGACGTAGTAAACACACGGCTCTTGACATTTACAGAAATGCTTTGGATGGTGGCATGCATGCGGCGCTGCATACTAAGCTGCATTCTGCCTGGGACTGCTTCAGCGCGCCGCGTGCAACAGAAACAGCTCCCCTTCGCCGAGGTCAGGGGGACTGAGAACAGATCCTCTCCTCGTGGGTTAACAACATTTTAAACGCCCCTGATATTCCTTTCATGTTTTATGCATGTACATGTTTAATTTAATTGCAGAAACTGATTAATTGAGCATCGCTCTGTGATTGAATAAAACATGATGAGGCCCTCCGCTAAACGCGTTTCCGCTCGTCTGTGACTGATGCTCCCACTTTGCTGCCTTCGTCAAACATTTGGCGTGGCTGTCAGCGGAATCAAGTACTCCATGAATTTAGACTAATTATCCACATTAGGTGCTGAATTACAATGACAGCCCATCAGCATGAATTGGTGCTATGCAGCATACTCACAGCTGAGCCATACATCATACAATCACTCCCACTTTGCAAACACAAAGAGGCCGTTTTAGAATATTGCCATTCAGTTAAAGGGGCAGCATCGTGGTTTTTTTTGTTTGTTTGTTTTGGGGGGTTTTTTTTCCCCAGGCACATTGTACCATTTTACCGCAAGTGGCTATTTTAATCTCAGCTGTTAAACGATGTTATATGACTCAAAAAAAATGCGACTTTGTAATTTTACTCTTTGAAATTCGTCCTCTGTCTCTTTAAAACCTCCTGCTCTTTCTTTTTACCCGCAATGAGCTGAAAGGTGCCCCTCAGCAGACTCTCAGTACCACCAGGTATTTGCTAATTGCTGCTGGCTAGTCTGAAGGAGCTGATTGGGGGAGTTGCAGGGACGGGCTGCTCTGTGGGGCGGACGCTCCGAAGATCGGAAACTGCGGGTCTGAGGAGGAGCTGTGCCTCAAAGGCGGAGCTAGGTCCAACCAGGCGTTTTGCACAGCTGAATGGTTGCCACGGGAGATTCGGGGATCTCTCAAACATGCATGAAACACACCAGGTGTGTTTTTGATAATGGAGTAACATCATAACAAAATGTACAGCTCCAAAAAGTCAAATCTACATAGATACCGCCTCTTTGAATCTATAGTAAAGGTTTTTACGGAAAGGACCAACAGGTACTCACCCATCCAGAAAACGTCAGGATCAGAACCATAAAAAGCTCCACAGTTCCTGTAAATTAACACTGGATTGTTCAATGTTTTTGTTTTATACTTGATTTTGAGCCAGGGTTTAGTTCTGTGGAGTTTATCTTTCTTTCTCAAAAAAAAAAAAAAAAAGCTGCTTCAAATTTCAATCCTTGTGTCTGATTGCTTATTCTTCCTCCCCTGGCTGAGCAGCTACTATAGACAGTGTGATTATTCAGGACTGTAGGCCTGATTGAATGACTAATTAATAAGCACAAATATCAAGCACCCACTTTTATTTCCTGGGAAAATCCAACGTTGGCGGTGAATGACGTCTAATGAGAAAATCAAAACGCCACTCGGATATATTACGCACGTCGTTTTGAGCTCCAAGGTAATCAAGCAGCAAGTGAGAGTCCTCTTCACATGCACCTGCAGGTTGTTGGGGGGGTGGGGGGGTGTTCGGGTTATGTTGCACATTTTTTTATGAGCACAAGTCACCTCTAGATGGATGGATGGATGGATGATTGAGTCAAGCACTTCCCAACAGAACTCCCTTTATATTTTCATATTTATAGCGCGTTGTGCTGCTGTCTTTGTGACAGAGGATCGGACTCGGCAAGCAGCAATTTGTAGGTCGGCTGTTAAACGAAGCTCACTTGGTACTGAGAGGCGTGACGACACTATACCACCACCATCTTCATACGTTTGTGTTGTTTAAGCCAAATTGTTGCCTTGTAACTCGAATATTGCGACTGGATTTAAGAGCAGTGAAATACTTCTTTGTATTTTTTTTTTTTTGTAATTTTTCAGACTGGTAAGTGCTGTGTGACTTAAACAAGGTCCGATTGTGTTTGTTTGATTTTTGACTTAATTTTACGAGTTTGTCCTCAGATTTGGCATTTCTAGTTTTAGAAAAACACACAAGAGGAATTCTGCTGTTTGGATTTTGACGAATGTAGAAAAAAATGATGGCGTCAGAAACTCGTGCTTCTATGCCTGCACTGTTATGGCGCCAAATGTTTATATCTTTACGAGTTTTGTCTTGTTTTTTTTCTCTTTTTTTCCGTTTTGTCTTTTTTATTTCAGCATTGTGTTTTTTGGTTGTTGTTTTTTTTTTACACATTTTGTTTTTTTAATTGTGTATGGAAAGATTGAAAATGGTCTAAGTAAATCTTCTTAGCATTCTAAATATAATAATAAACATCAAATCTTAGCTGCTGCTGCCTCTAGGCT